ACCCCCTACTGCCCTACCTCCGTCCCCAGGTCCTTCCTTTGAACTCCACAGCAGCCTGGAGACCCCCCGACTAGGTGCCCTGTTTCAAGACTTCAAGAAGCTTCTCCAGGAGACTTGTATTTATTTATTTATTTTTAAAGATTTATTTATTTATGCATTCAAGAACTGGGGGACAGGCCAGAGGTACAGGGGGTGAGAAGACTCACCAGAGACAGAGTGGGGAACAGAGCAGGTGGATCCACTGAAATCCACTGCTGAGGGGAACAGCAGGGAGATAGGCGAAGTCAGCTGTGCCCTGTGGGAATCTCCCTGGCTGGGGATGGAACTCGTGCTGCAGAGGCTGCAGACAGCTTCATAGTGCTGCGTCTTAACTCCTTGCGCCACCAGGGAGTCCCCAACTTCTTGTATGTATGTATGAATTTATTTATTTATTTAAGATATATTTATTTATTTATACATGCACTGGGCACAGTCAGAAGCGCGGGAGGGTGAGAGGATTCACCAGAGCCAGAGCGGGGAGCAGAGCAGGCAGAAGGACCGAAGGACACTGCTGAGGGGAGCAGCGGGCGGCAGGAGAGGTCTGCGCGCCATGTGGGACCCTCCTCCGGTGGCCGGGGAGCAGCCGGGGATCGAACCAGCGCTGCAGAGGCTGCGGGCAGCTTCGCAACCCAGTGCTCAACCGCTGCGCCACCGGGGAGGCCCAACTTCTTGTATTTAAACCCTTGCTGTTCCCCCCCCACCCCAACTTGACTGCTTTCTGCTCTTCCAAGTTGAGCTTGGGACAGAGAGAGAATGCCCTCCCCCCCACCTACCCCCCCACCCACCGGCCCCGCGGCGTGGGGGGGATGACAGGCCAGTCCCGTGCTCCTGACCCTTTTCTCTGTCTCCAGAATCTCTGCAGTCAGCACGTTGTGCTTCCATGGGGTGGGGTGGGGTGGGGGTGTGTGTGAAGAATCACCATTTAAAAACCAAACAAGGACTCTGTCCAAGGGCGGCCCCTGCCCCCTCCTGGCCTGGGGGGACCCCTCCGCCACTTTTACCACCCCTGAGACGTCCCTTCACCCCCCACTTGCCAGCTTCATCACTCAGCTGTCTCCCCGCAGCAGGGGCGGCCTTCCCCGGCCAGACGGGGTGGGCACACGCTGCGGCTGGAAGGGGCACTGGGGGTCTGGCCCTGTCACCACCCCCATCCTGCCTTGACACCCTTCCTTGAGGGCACAGGGTGTGCGAAGGGAGAAACCAAGTCCCCCGTGAATGAGCCCCCCAAGCTCCCACGTTTGCGCAACCTGCTGTTCAGACGACCGTGAGGGAGGGCGGCCACGCGGCCCGCTGACCCCGCGGGCATTCCCAGCCCGGGCACTGCCCTTCTGCACTTGGCCTGTGACCCACTTGGCGTGGACCCACAGTGCGCCCTGGTCCAGAGCCTGAGGCGTGAGAAGGGCGAGGCTGCAGGCAGCTGGGCCAAGGCCCGAGCCAGCCCCTCGCCTGCAGCTCTGGAGTCAGACGTGTTGAAGGCTGCGATGCTGCCCGGGCCCGGAGACCGAGGGCCGGCCTGCCAAGAGCCCCTCACGCTGGTCAGGGGGGGCAGGAAGCTGGTTCAGAGGGGGCCTTTTCGCCCAGCCGCGCCTGCTGTGCTGCCCCAGCCACAGGGCTCACCCAGCTCTGGGGGCACAGGGATGCAGGCCCAGGCCGCGATGCTCCGGCAGCCGGGTCTCAGGGCCTCCCGGCAGCCCTGGGGACAGGCCTTGGGTGAAGGCGGGGCCCTGAGAGATGCCACCGTCAGACTGGGGGTCAAACCCCGCGTCTGAGACACCACGAGCGGCCCTCCTGCAGCTGGGGGTCGGAGTCTCCCTCGGGTGTGTCTGGGCGGGGGTGGAGGCCCTGATGAGCGCGTGGGCCTCGCACCCTTGGCTGCTGCTGCTGCCGCTGGCATCATACAAGACGGGGCAGGACCTGGGGCCAAGCCTGGGGCAGGAGTTGGTGGGTGAGGGGAGCACTGAGGGGGTGCAGGGAGCTGGAGAGAGGGGGAGAGGTGGGGGGAGGAGGAAGGAGCAGAGAGGGAGGGAGGGAGATGAGGCGGGGGAGATGAGGAGGGGAGAGAAGGGGCCCCTTTGGACCCCACTGTGCCTCCAGAACTGTCGTGGAGGATCCTGGGGCGGCGTCCTGGGCAGCAGCAGCAGTGCAGGCCCCAGGCCTACGTGCTGCCCTGGGGGTGTCTGGCCCTCACGTGACCCAGATTTAGGGAAGTGGAGGTCATGGCTCCCTTTTAAGGGTGCAGTTCTTCCACTTGAGAAGCTGTTTCTTTAGCTTCTTGTTTTGAGGTTTTGAAAGTGGTTGGGGGTGGGGGAGTTACGGACGCAAAGGGCTACGGCTCAAGACCCACCGCCCCCGACTGGGCGCTCCGGCCTTTTCCTGCCGCTGCCGCCTCTGCAGAGGGAGACCCGCAGCCTCCCTGGGCCCGGCGCTACCTGGAGCTGATGCGGGTGTGCGCAGAGGGTGCCCCGGGGGCTTGGGGCACAGGTGACAGAGAGAGGGTGACCCTGCAGCCAGCTGGGGAGGGGGCATTCTGGGCAGCAGGAAGAGCCTGGCTGAGCAAAGTCTGGGCTCCCCACAGACCTGCTGTCTGTAGGATGGGGGGTGGGAAGGGGGTAGAGCCCAGGGCCACTGAACCCCAGCAGGGGCTGGAGGGAGGGACCAGGCATTTTCAATCATTTTACTGGTGGCCCAGGTTGAGGGTTGCACATTGCTGCTGCTCCGTGGGAGCAGGGTGGGACAGAGGGGCACAGGGGTGTACGACTAACTGGAACCAGAAGCCATGCCCTGTGCAAATGCAGCGCCCCACGTCCTGGTTGTTCAACTGCTTGTCTTGACCCTGCAGATAGACGCCTTCCCAGGTCTCCCTCTAGGGTCCCTTGAGCCTGGCAGGGCAGGGCAGGGTGATTGGGGGATCCCCGGATAGCACCAGGCCAGCCCTGCCTGGGAGGAGCCATGACTGGATTCTGGAGCTGTCGGGGTGTGTGTTGTGTGTGTGTGTGTGTGTGTGTGTGTGTGTCCGGGGTGCTGCGCTGCACCCCCGGCCTCCCTCCCTCCTGCTGTTTGGCCCCGTCTCCAGGTGGCCTCGCTGCGGATAGAGGGTCTCTGTGTGCCCACCTGAGCCTTTCGCCACCCTAATCCTCTGACCTTCTCGGAACGAATCCCAGAACACAGAGCAACCGTGGTCTGTTTTTATAGATTCCCCTAGAACTGGGAAGATCAGCTTAATTGCTCCAGCAGATCCCATCCGTCTCTGGAGGATACCTCTGATGGGAGAGGGGTTTGAGACAATCAGAGGAATGTCTCCCTGCAAGGATGGCGGGAGGTGGCTTCACAGTGCCAGCCGGTCAGCCCCTGGGCCAGGCTCCGCCCCAGAGACAAGGAGAGGAGGTGGGCGCAGGAGGCCCCTCAGGGTGTCAGTGGCCTCCAGCAAGTCCTGGCCTTCTTCCTGGTGACTTGGGTCCAGCCCCAACCTCTGTCCTTCCTCCCCCTCTCACCTACCCTCCCATCGCCTCCCCCCCAATAAAAAGCTGGCAGTGGCGGCCTAGTAGAAGCTGGCCAGGTAGGGAGGAGGGGGCCACGGGCCCAGGGGCACCGGGGTAGATGCAGAGCCGGAAGTGGCCTGCGTGTGCCTATGGGGACCCTGGGAGAACAGGCAACAAGCCCCCGCTCCCTGGCCGCACCCCCGCCCCCCGCCTGCCACATCTCAGGGGGCAGCCGGGGATCAGGGTCCTTGTTCTGTGACAAAGGGCAGCCCTGCCACAGAGCCCCGTGCCCCGCGCGCCAGCTCAGAGACGCCCCAGGAGGGCGGGGGCCGCCAGCCTTGCCCACCGCCCAGGGACTGTCCGCACCTTCAGCTCTTTGGGGCTGGGTGTCTCTTTGTCACCAGCAGGAAGCTCAGAATGCCAGCCCGCAGGGTAAACCGGCTGGAGGCATCTCTGCCTGCCCCGTCCCTGGGTCTTTTAGAGCCTCCCCTGCTTGGGGTCCAGTTCAGGGCTGAGCTGAGGATGCCAGAGCAGAAGCCCCTGCCCCTTGCCGGACCCCCCTGCCGGAGCCCTGGCCTCACTCCCCTGCAAAACAGGCCTCGCTGCCCGCGCGAGCGGCTCAAGCTCACGATCTTCTCCCATCGGCAGCGCGGCCTGCTCCTGGCTTTGGGCACTGGCCTCGGCCTCCACTCGGAGCTGCTGCAGCTGCCTGAGGGGGAGCTGCGGGGGGGCGGGGGGGAGGGGGGAGGCCTTGAGAGGCGCAGGAGGCATCAGGGCAGGGAGGGTGGGGGACGAAGCTGAGCAGCACCTCAGGGCCTGGGGAGGGCCAGGCAGGCGCCACTTTGGGGACTTTCAAGCTGCTCTCCGAGGAGCCACCTAGGCGGAGGGCCCGCGGGCTGGGAGGCGGTGGCCCCCGGAGCTCCCTTTGGAAGCGAAACACCCGCGTCGTCCGGATCCCGCGCTCGGGCGGTGCTCGCTGGACTCTGGAGAAACACGAGCGGGTCTTCTCCGAGCCCAGTGCCAGGGAAAGTTGGTCCTTGGTGACGCCAGGCGCGGCCGCAGGCAGGGCAGCCCCGTCCCCGCGTGTCTGCTGCCAGGAAGCGCTTCTTCCTGCCAAGAAGGGATTTTCAGCCTGTGTCCCTCCTCCTTCCTATTTAATTCTCGTCCTTCACCAGCTTTGGGTCCCCTGGGACCAGGGCTTTCATGCGGTGCCGGCCTAGCCTGGAGGGGGAGCTGAGGCGGCTCCGCAGCAGCCCGGGGCAGTGTGCAGGCCCCGGCCCCCGCCCCCACCCCGGGGCCTGCAGCTGAGCCTCCGCCTGCCTGTAAAACGCGGCTCCTCCCGTAGCCCTGGCTGTGCTGGGGGCTGCCACGTCTGCAAGCTCCTGGCATCACCCCGGCGCCTTGGAGGTGCCCGTGCAGGCGAGCTGAGAGGTGCCAGCAGACGTGCCCGCAGTGACCTCCTCTCCCCCCTCTCCCCTGCAGGAGGGCAGTCGGTGACCCAGAACAGCCCCCCCATCATAGTCTCTCTGGCCAACACAGTCGTGTCCTTCAACTGCACCATCACCTACCTGTACACCCCCCAGTTCAAGGCCTTCACCGTCTCCTACCTGCACGAGGGCACTCATGGCCGGTCATCCCAGCAGCCCATCAAATGCCCTCCTGGCTTGGGCATCGAGAACCAGACCCACACCGTGGCGTGTGGGGTTACCCTCAAGCTGGCCAATGCCTCAGCCACGGGTACCTACTACTGCTTCGTCCACTGGCAGACAGTCGTCGTGAGAGGCCAGGGCACCTTCATCTTGGTCAGAGGTGAGGCGGCCTCTGAGACGTTCCGGGCAGAGTCTGGGCAGGGGTCTGAGCAGGGATGGTTGCCTGGTCTTTCATGTGCAGGGAGCCCTGGCCATGCAGGCGTGTGGGACGTGCGGGGCGTGTGTGCATGTGTGCATGTGTGCGCGTGTGTGCATGGCCTGCGAGTGGGCATGGCTCTGGTATTTCTTTCTGTGGACAGATTTCTAGTTCTCGTCACATTCCCAGAGGAGTGACGACCCTGCGGTTAAGAGCGGCCTGTGCCACAGCCAGGATTCTCTGCGCTGCCTGCAGAGCCCCGTGGACCCGGGTTTGGACTCTAGTCCTGCCAGGCTGTGCCCTTGGGCCTGTCATGGATTCTGCGGGGGGAGGCCTGGCAGGCAAGGGCTGGTGCCCAGCCACGGAAGTGCTTGGCCAGTAACACACCGGGCACGTGGTTAGAGGACACAGCATTCCGCCAGCTGGCGGGTGGGTGGACAGAAGGACAGGTCGGTGGACAGAAGGACGGGTGGGGGACGAAAGAATGAATAACTCAAGAGGAGGGGCAGGCTGTGCCCTCACCGGCCCTGACGCGGCAGCCACTGGTCAAGCCGGACAAACCCTTCCCTTACCCGCCACGCTGACCCATAGGGTCACCATTGCACTTGTGGGAAGAGGAGCCCCCAGAGGTGACAGGACTCACCAGGGCCCCACAAGCAGCTGAGCAGAGCTGGTTCCTGAGGCAGGGGCCTTAGCAAAAGGTGTGGCCCGGCCGTCAGGGGCCTCAGGCAGCGGGCACGAAAGGGGCCCAGCCAGCTCTGGCGTGGGCCAGGCCTGATGGGGGCCTGGGGTCCTCATGGGAGAAGTGAGAGCCTGGGGTCGGGGGTGGGGTGTGCCCTAGCCTCCCCCTGGTAATGACCCCTCTGCTTCTCCATCCTCCTACTAGACACGGGGTACCAGGAGCCCTCCCAGGGCTCCCAGAGGTTCCTGCTCTTTTTCTTCCTTGGCCTCCTGATAGTCTTGAGCCTCCTGGGCACGGCGCTGCTGTTCTGGAAGAAGGTGGGTGCTCGCACACGTGCCCACCATGGCCACACCCCCACCCCGTGGCTGCAGCTGGGGCATGGACTCCTCCAGGAGGACGTCCAGCGGGGCCTGGTGAGGGCCCCTGTGGTAGGTACACTGTGGCCCCTCACCCTGGGCACCCCCGTGGCCCCCCTGCAGCCAAACCTGTGTCCCCGACTCATTACTCCCAGGTTCCTTTTGACCTGGCTGCAGAAGTCAGCCTCAGCAAGCCCCAGGCAGGGAGCGGGTCGCTGCGGGCCCCACTGTGCCCGCCCCACCACACTTGCTCCTGTTGTCCCCACTAGAGCTTTGGAGAGCCAGGTGGACCCGCCCCAGGCCAGCCAGCAAGCGTGTGACACAGGGGGCTGGATGCAGGGCAAGCAAGCATGGGGTTCAACTCTTCGCCCGCAGACTCCCGCTCTCTTTATGGGGCGCCTGCCCAGAAGGGGTGTCTCCCACCGGGCCTCTTACTCTCTCTACCCAGCTCTGCGCTTGGCCCTTTGATGCCACGCTCCCTGCGGGCCGGCCCTGCTCCCCCAGGCTGCTATGCCCGATGCCTCTCCCCGCCCCACCCCCAGCCTCCAACCCACCCATCTCCTCATCTTCGGCTGCCATCTTCCTATCCCAAGGTCACCCTCCCCCCGGCTGTCTCGCCCCGGCCCCGCTGCCTGGGACACTCTCTGACTCAGGGAGCATAGCCAGCCCCGGTCCTGTCTCCAGGGGACAGCACCATCCCCTGGCAGACTTGGGGTGCCCCCCAGGCCGCAGAGTGACGCTCACCTCCACAGGGACCCCTCCAGTCTGTCAGGGTCCGGGCCAGGTCTGGGTCCTCAGCTCTGTCCAGGGGTCCAGCTGCCCGGAGAGCCCCTGCCTGTGGGCCACACCCTTGGCCTGGGCCACGTGCAGGGAGCTCCCCCCATGGAGAGACCCACTCGGAGGTGATCCCCACCCCTGACTATGCCGGTCCCTCAAGAAGCAGGTGGCACATGGGAGGGGAACTGCATTGAAGGACTGGGCATCTGGGCATCTGGGTGCAACCCAAGGATAGTCATGGGCTGGCAGGACCTGCCTCAGTTTACCCCTTTGTTAAATGGAAGTTCTATGCTCACCCTCTCAGGCTATTGTGAGAAAAGACCAGCAAGCCCCAGGGGTCTTTGTAAACCGCAGTGCCCCGCGCCTCCCCCGCTCTGCCTGCGCACCCCACAGGTCGCCTGAATCACACGTGTGGGTGTGAGTCATGCAGACCAAGGTTCAAATCCAGCCTCTGCCACTTCCTTGTCTGTGGCCTCAGGCAAGCCAGGAGCCGCCTCTGAGCCCTCCGTCTTGTCTTCGTGTGAGGAACAGAGACCAAGGGAGCCCCGTGCCTCCGGCTTGGGGGCCCCAGGAGACCGGGCGGCACTGAAAGCCCCACCCTGCGGCCCGAGTCCCCTGGCCCTGGCCGCGGGCTGGGAGGCGCTGGCTTCTGCCTGAGAGTAAAGGAGCTCTCGAGAGCTAATCCCCGGCAAATGGGCTGAGGGTTGGCAGGCGGCCAGGGTTTTTAATTAGCTCCTGCCCCAAGATGAGGCTGCTGTGGCTTCGCGTTGCCAGTGCTGTGCCTGGACCGGGGTGGGGCATCCGAGGGCCTCTCTTTGCCGCAAGGAACCGACCGCCCACCGGTCAGCAGCCTCTGCGCCCGCGCCCCTGCCTCCCTGCCCCGCGCCCCTGCCCCCAGTCTGCAGCTGCTCCTGCTCCTCCCCGAGGCGGAGGCCGCTGCCCAGCCCACTGCCCGCCGGCTTCCCCGCCCGGCCCCCTCCCGGCCCCCTCCCGGCAGCCTCTCTCTCTCTCTCGCCCCTTGAGCGTCTTCGAGGCCGTCCTTCCTCCCTCTCTGCCACAGGAACGTCTCAGCTTTGGGGTCCCACGGCCCCTCCCGCCAGCTCGGGCATCTGCTCCCTCCGGGGCCAGAGGCTCCGTCTCCGCGGCTCAGCGGACACGTTGCTGACACCCCAGCTCATCCTCCCTCTCCCCCGGGTCCTCAGTCCAGGGGCAGGGTGGGCGCCTCCTCACGCCGCCCGGCTAACGGGAGCCGCCCGGCCCTGGGCTGGCCTGGCCACCTGAGTGTCGCTTGCTCCGGCGTCTCCTCCCTCCATCCTTGCAACCATCTCACAAACGAGACGTTGCGAGACGCAGGCCCAGGGATGGACGGGGGTGGGGGGGTGGGGGGGGTTGTGACGCCACAGTCACGGTGATGCGACACCCAGCCGAGCTGATGCCCGCTCGGGACATCCCGCTGCCTGGGCGCTGCCACCCGGGACCCCGCCCGCTGCTCTGGTCCTGCTGCACCTGCCTCCCCGGGCACTGCCCAGGGCAGGGGTCTGGGGTCTCCGGGCCTGACGGGGACTTTGGCCGCCCGGGCGCACGCCCTGGAGAGGGCGAGGAGGGCTGAGTGGAGAGCTCTGAGAGGCCCTTCTTCCTCCCGGTGGGGTCTGTGCGGAGGAGACGGGGAGCCGCCCATCCCAGGCCCCCCACAGCCCTGCGTCTTTCCTCCATGTGACAGGCACAGGCTCCAGGGAAGCACCTTGCCCAGAAATGCCCAGTCACCAGTCCTGCCAAGGGTTCCCAGGAGCTGCCGCCCGATTCCGATTCCGTCTACACGGTGAGTCCTGGGCCTGGGCCCTCTGCCTCTCGGGGTCTGACCCCATGCGGGGCTGGATCCCTGGCTCCTCTGAGCCTTCAGCTCCCCTCTGTAAGTTGGGGCCAAGGGTTCCTACCTGGTGGAATTTCCATGAAGGATAATGGGGGATATGTGCTTGGCCCGTGGCAGGCCTGTGGGTGCGAGGTGCCACCCTCTCTCCTCGGGGCACAGCCCTCCTGGAACAAGGGGTGGCGGGGCGCAAGGTGCTGAGGGGAGTTTCCACATGGTGCGAGCCGGTCACCAACTTCCTCCTCTTCTTCTTGCACAAACAACTGCAGCAACAAGGAGAATCCCCCAAAGAGGAAAAGGTCCGTCTCGGTCCCACAAACCTCAAAGGAACCGAAGTTTCTCTGTCCCCCTACCGCCACCCACATCGCTCCATAGCCTCGCGTTCAAGCAGAGACTCTGCGGTTGTCGTGCAGTGGCCATTCGCTGGCGCTGCAAGTGGCCGCCTGGTGGCCTGGGGAGCTGCCGCCTCTGCCCGGCCCTGGCGCCCACTCCGCCACCTGGCCAGCCCCTCAAGGATGGCTGTGAGGGCAGCAACATGCCTCTCGGTCACCTCTATTTTAGTTTCACACGTAACATAAGTTCACCGCAGAGAAAGGCAGGCGTGGATGCCACCCAGACAGACCGCGGTTCTTCTAGCCAGGAGTGTAGGAGGCCACGCCAGTGGGTTTGTGCAATCACGCTCCGTGATAGTCACGCGATGAACTCACCTAACGATGCGTTTTCCAGGACGTGTCCCTGTCATTAAAGGACACATGACTGCACTTCTTTGGATGGACAGTTAGATATCATCAGTCTTCTCGTCTAGTTTATATCATTAAGGCTGTGAATTTCCCTTTGAGTATGATTTTAGCTGCATCCCACAGGCTTTGATGTGACATATTTTTGCTATTTTTTCAGTTTAAATTGTCCATTGAAATTTCTTCCTTGCCTCCCGGGTTATTTAAAAGTGTTTACTTAGTTTTAAAAAGTTTAATTATTCTCTGCTATCTTTTTTTTTCTTGCTAATTCCACTGTGCTTAGGGAATATATTCTGTATGATTCTTTTTTTTTTTTAAAGATTTATTTATTTATTTATTTATACATGCACTGGGTACCGTCAGAAGCGCGGGAGGGTGAGAGAATTCACCAGAGCCAGAGCGGGGAGCAGAGCAGGCAGAAGGACCGAAGTACACTGCTGAGGGGAGCAGCGGGGGGCAGGAGAGGTCTGCGCGCCATGCGGGACCCTCCTCCAGTGGCCGGGGAGCAGCCGGGGATTGAACCAGTGCTGCAGAGACTGCGGGCAGCTTCGCAACCCAGCGCTCAACCGCTGCGCCACCGGGGAGGCCCCCTAGAACCGGTCTTTCAGCAGCTGGCCGATTGCCATCCCAGCCCCACAGTCTGTTCAGTGCCAGGCAGAGTGCTCCTGTCCAACTGCAGACATTACGGTCGGTCTTCTCAGAGCCCTGGTGAGTCTGGGTCCTCTGTGAAGCAGGCAGAATACGGGGTTAGGCACACAGTTGTTTCATTAGTGAGAGAACGTGAGGAGGGAGCTGGAAGACCAGGAGCGCCGTCAGACGCAGGTGTGGCTTCACAGGGCAGTCTTGTATTTATTAGCACCAAGTACAATGGTGGGGCGGGTAAGTAGGGAGTGTACATCTACGGGGGAAGCAGTTATTGGGGATGTAAGCTAGGGTGGAGTGACCAGCCCCCCAGGAGCCTGGGGAGCTCCATTGTTCCAGTAGGTCAAAGCATATTATCTCTATTCTTTTTTTTTTTTTTAAGATTTATTTATTTATACAAGCACTGGGTACAGTCAGAAGCGCGGGAGGGTGAGAGAATCCACCAGAGCCAGAGTGGGGAGCAGAGCAGGCAGAGGGACCAAAGTACACTGCTGAGGGGAGCAGCGGGCGGCAGGAGAGGTCTGCGCGCCATGTGGGACCCTCCTCCGGTGGCCGGGGAGCAGCCGGGGATCGAACCGGCGCCGCAGAGGCTGCGGGCAGCTTCACAACCCAGCGCTCAACTGCTGCGCCACCGGGGAGGCCCATCTCTATTCTTTTTTTAAAGATTTTTATTTATTTATTTATTTTTGCATAGAAGAGCTGGGGTGTAGGCTAGAAGTGTGGGGTAAGAGGATTCACCAGAGACAGAGTGGGGAACAGAACAGGCAGACTGACTGAAATCCACTGCTGAGGGGAGCAGCGGGTGAGACAGGAGAGGTCCCTGTGGGTCAGCTCCCTGGCAGGGATCGAACTCAGGCCTTAGTGGTGGTAGCACTGAGACTTAACCTCTAGGCCACCAGGCCACCAGGGAAGACCCCATGCTATCTCTATACTACTAGCTGCCTGCTTTCTTCAGCAGATACTGGCTTCCCAGTATGTTCCTCATACCAGGACTTTTGCCCTTGGTGAGAGGCCCCTGCCTGACCCTACCCTCAGCTGACGAGCAGGAACTCGGGGCACCAGGACAATAGCCCGAGAATAAGGAGGGCCGGGGGTCCCACACACTGGCAGATCTGGGCCTGAGTGAAGGAATAGGGGCTGGAAGGCAGAGTGTGGGACTGCGGCCTGAGGTGCAGCAGGATGTTGGGGTCGCCGGGTCAGAGGGTCCCACGTCTCTCAGGGCATCCTGGTCCGCCCACCTTGGGCTGGGGTAACCACAGGGCCACTGGCTCCAGGCCAAGGTCTGCTGGTGCCAGAGCTGGGCAGTTCTAATCCCGGGGCTGGAGGTCTGCGAGGCGCAGGCTCGTGTCGCCTCCTCCCAAGGCCCCGGCCTCAGTCGGCACCAGCACCAGAGGCCTGGCATTGGCCTCCGGGAGCACCCTGTCCACGTGGCCGCCCACTGCCCCTCCTCCCCCCTCCCTCACGCCAGTCCTACCGGCACCCTTGCTGCTCCCAGACACACCAGGCCTGCTGCCTGCCAAGGGCCTTGGGACCGGCTATGCCCTCTGCCCAGAGCCTCTCCCCTGAGGTCATTCCAGTCGCTCCTTTGCTCCTCAGCTCTCTGTTCAGATGGCGCCTTTGCGGCTAGGGCTCTGCTGGCCTCTATTTTAGAATTGCCCTTCTACCCACTCCGTGACCCCCCCCAACCTCCTCCTTCTCAGTGGCTCTGTGGACCTAGTGGCCACCTTTCACTCTCACCATCGTGATCTGTTTCATCCCCTTCCCAGCCCCAGTGTCCTGTGCACAGTAGGCGCACAGTAGGTGCACAGTGGGCTGCTGCCCGTGGATGAGTGGGGGTGTCTTCCCTGCCGGGTGCCCAGGTGCTGGACTGTTGAATCCCCACTGTGCTATCACTGCCCCTCAGCAGCGTCCAGACGCCTCCCCCTGGAGGTCCTCCCTCCCCTGGGCCTGCACACTCCTCTTACTCCTCCTGCAGCGGGAGGGATCTTCCCAACACATGACGGCACCATCACCTCCCACTCAGAAGCCTCCGGCGGCTCCCACTGCCGGCAACTCAGTCTGGCACGAGAAGCCTTCATTGGAGGCACGTCTCAGCCCTGCCCCCCACCCCGACTCCTGGTCCTGCAGTGTCCAGTTGTCCAGTTCAGACACACTGGGGCCTTGACCTAGAGCAGAGACACTTCGCCCCCAAGCCCTACTGCTTTCTGAACAGCATCCGATCTAGCCACCCTGAGCCCAGTGTCATGCAAACCTCTACTCGCAGGGCCCCAGGAGAATACAACTGTTGCGTCCTTGGTCGCGGGGGTCGGTATTCCTGGGGGACCTATGTCCAGGATGCTCAGATTAGTTGCTGGCCCAGGGTAGCTGACGTCAGCCCTGGCCTCGATTAGCCTGAAGGAAGACGTTAGCATTGGCTCCGTACCCTTGCCAATGCTGACCACCATGTGGGTCAGCACCATTGGCCTCTGGGCAACAGGAGGCAAAAGGACTTGGAGGTCTGGGTCTCACACAAACATAGCCCAGCTCAGCCCAGTTTGGCCAGGGGGAATCCAGTTCAGCCCAGCTCAATCCAGCTTAGTCCAGTTCAATTTGGCTCAGCCCAGCTCAGCTCAGTTCAGCCAGGCTCAATCCAGCTCAATTTGGCTCAGCCCAGCTCATGTCAGCTCAGCCCAGCTCAGCCCAGCTTAATCCAGCTCAGCCCAGCTCAATTTGGCTCAGCCTACCTCAGCCCAGCTCAGTCCAGTTCAGTCCAGCTCAACCCAGCCCAATTCAGCTCAACCGAGTTCAGTCCAGCCCAATCCAGTTAAATCCAGCTCAGCCCAGCTCAATCCAGCTCAGCCCAGCTCAGTCCAGCTCAGCCCTAGTGGGCACTAACACAGCACAGTCCCAAGCTCACCTCCGTCCCAGCCCTGCCAGCCCCACCCGTTCGGAAGCCTGGAGGCCTGGGCAGTCTTCCTAGGGGGCACAGCTGAGGGAGGCAGCCCCACCACCCCCAGGCAGGCCAGGGGGTTCTGGAGTAGGCGAGCATCCAGTTGACAAGGCTGCCCTGCCCCTGCATCACAGCCTGGTGCTGCAGGTCATAGTCTGCATGCGAACGCTGCCCAGCCGGCCAGGGCTTGGCAAAGGCTCCCCCGGCAGCTGCTAATCAGCGGCAACCTCGTGGCCTCCCCTGCCTGCTCAGCCTCAGCCCACAGCTGCTCCTGCCCTGGCCACAGCACAGCCACCACCGTGTGGCTCAGAGGCCGGCAGGGTGCCCTCTTGGTGCCCTCTTGGCCAGGATAGCCCCTAGCCTTGTGCTTGGTCAACGAGAGCACACAGCTGGCCAGAGCCTGCAAGCCAATCTTGGCTTCACCTGGGGCTGTGTGACCTCAGACCTCTCTGGGCCTCTCTGGGCTAATGTGTGGCGGGCAGCCAGTGTGAGCTGGACCGAGGGGAGAAGGGAACCACCTGTGGGACCGCAGCTCTGCTCCTGTGGAGACACGGACCAGAGCCGCCCAGTGCGGAGGGGCTGTCAGCTCTGTGGCGCTCCAGGATGGGGTGGAAGAGGGCGGGGGCCACAGGGCGCGGATGTCGATTTGTGTGCTGGACTGTCCGTTGGTCAGCACTCGGGGCGGGCCCAGAAACCCACAGGCCAGAACAAGCCTAGAAGTTTCCTTCCACTAGAAGTGGGGTTCCTGCTGGGGGAGGCAGGTTGGAGGCCCCCCGGCCAAGACCTACTCTCTTTCTGACTCAGAGGCCCCTTGAACTGGTCCCGGGGCTGCCTGGCCCTCCCTGGGCGCCCTGCCCTGGAAGTGAGGGTCTCCCAAGCACCAAATGGTTTATTACACGGTTTTCATGCCCCGCTGCCTCGGGGCGCCTCCCTGCCTCCTCCCTCCCAACTCCCCTCCCTCGCCAGGCTTCAGAGCACCACCTGTCTCTCCTGTTTGCCTCGGCAACCCCTGCTTGCCTGTTGCCGAGGAAACCACCTCCTTGGCAACCAGCCGGCATCCATCTGACATGTCTGCTCGGGAAGGGGAGGCGCCTGCCTCAAGCACAGGCTCCGCTCCGGCACCCTGAGGCGCAGCAGGTGCCCCTGGGGTGGGATCCTAGTGCCCCGCAGGGTCGGGGAGGGGCCAAGCTATGGCCGCAGAGAGGGGAGAGGGACTTAATGCCTCCCTGATGGTCGTTTCAGCAGTTATTGAGCGCCTACTGCTTGCCAGTTTCTGTGCTGGGCCCTTCATGCCTGGATCGTCTTTAAGCAAGTGCTAGACATGCATGTCCCCATTTCACAGACAAGGAACCTGACGCCCCCAAGAGGTTCAGGGGTAGCCATGGCTGTCAGGGGTCAGAGCTGAGGGGTGAATCTAGCCTTATCTGGTTTCTGCCTTCTTGAGGGCTCAAGTTAAGAGGCTCATGCTGGGCCAAGGGAGAGTGTGGCCCTAGGACCCAGGTGAGCAAGGTGCCCCCCACTCGTAGCTTATTGGGTGCTGTTCTCCAAGTGTGGGCTCGACCAGTGTGGGCTGTTCTCCAAGTGTGGTAACAGACCAGGCCCAGCTTGATGGAGAGGCGGTGTCCACAGTAGGCGCCCATCACCGTGAGCACAGCTGGGTCGAGGCCACGGGAGGCCCTGCAGGCAGGGCCCTCGCAGGGCAGGGGCTTTGGGCCGGGGGAGGGAGGGCAGATGCCGGGAGGGCATCCCACGAGAGAGTGGCCATAGGCTGGAGCCCAGCGTGGTGTGTGGGGGTTACCGGAGTGCGGGGGAATCACTCTGACCAGCAAGTGGGGGTGAGGTGCAGGGTCACAGGCTGGAGACCTGGTGCCAGGGCCTGAGTGTCTGCCCACCGCCCTGACCCTCTGTCTCCTGCAGGCCCTGCAGCGCCGACAGACTGAGGTCTACTCCTGTATCCAGAGCGAGGCCAGCAGCCCGCCCACCGCCCAGGGCCTGCACTCCCAGGTACACGGGCGTCGGGGGAGCAAGACTGGCTCCCGTCGGGCCCCTCCCTTCTGTAAAGTGAGGGTAAAGCGAGCTCGGGAGCAAGACCTGCTGTGGAGTCAGAACTCTTCCCGGGCAGCTGGCGGGAGGCCTGGCGGGCCCGGCTGTGCATCCCTGGCCCCGGGGCTGCCTCTCTGAGCCGAGCGTCCCCAGCACAGGCGTGCTGAGCTGGGAGCCGGGGAGCCTGCTCAGCTCGAACCCGCCGCTACCACCGGCGCAGCACTGTTGCACCGGCCGCCCGGCCAGGGGGAGGCGTCTGACCAGCCCGCTGGGGTGGCTCACCGGGCGCAGGTCACACTGGGCGGGGGCCTGGCCACGTCCTCTCTTCAACCTCAGTTTGCTCTTCTGTAGATGAGTGACACGTTCCTGCCCCTTGAATTCCAGTAAGTCTTGAGCCAAGCGGCTTCTGCACAGGGCTGGTGACAATCCACAGCACCCCGGGAGCCCGGGCGCTGCGAGGCCCCTGGGGCCCTGGAGGAGCCACAGGGCAGTGAGGGGCCCTGCTTGGCCCCCCAGCCCGGGGCTCCCTGTGACACTAGGTGTCGAGTCTTCGCTCTTCAAAGCCCAACCCTGAACCGGTCTTGACTGCAAGGCCAGCTCCCCTGGCCAGGAGGTCGTCCCAGAACATGCCTGCCCCGTGCTGGCCCTGGGTACTGACCGGAGAGAGGGGCAGGTCTCTGCCCTCTGGGAGCCTCAGGCCGAGGGACAGATCACTGGCCCAGCAAAGTGACATCCGCAGCCCCTGTGAGGGGTAGGCTCTGGGGCGGGGGAGGGGGGTCAACGTTGAGGGGGCTCCCCAGCTGCTGAGCCCAACCCTACAAGATTAGCAGGACATGGTCAGGGGAAGGTCCCAAACAGAGGGAGGAGCATGCGGGGAGGCTCTGAGGAGGGAAAAAGGAGGCCCCAAGAACAGCTGGAGGGCCGGGGTGAGGCTCTGGCTCAGAGGGAAAGGCGCAGGCTGGCCCCGGCTGGACAGCTCCCAGGGGCTCCTCTGGCTGGTGGCCTCCGACTGAAGGTGCGTGAGTGCTCCCCACCTAGTGCACTGTGCTCTTTATTTTTCCCTCCCAGGAGAAACTGCGTAGATTTGAGGATGACAGTGAATTTAACCTGGTCTATGAAAACTTCTAGAGCCAGAACGCTGCCCGCCCCTCGGTGCCAGCCTTGATCTGCGCCAGGAGCGAGCCCGCAGGGAGGCCCCGTCACGTCACCCCACGCTCTCACCTCCACCAGGGCCCGCACTCCAACCCCCATTCTGCTGCACCCCAGCGACACCCACCGCTTGTTCCCTGTCTCCTGGCCTTGGTCCAGGGCCCCTCTGCCAGGCAGCCTTTCCTCCGTCGCCAGGGGCTGCCGACACCCCACGCCCCAGCCCTCCCAGCCTCTTGAGACACAGCCGTGTGGCACGGCTGCCCCCAACCCCGCCGGGCCACCTGTGGACACTCAGGCTCCTGCCCCGGCCTGGCATGCTGTGTGTTGGCAGCGGGCGGCGGGGAGTGGGGTGACTGTGCCAGCCCCCAGGGCCCCACTGCTCAGGTAGATGAAGGCATGAGGCAGCCACACCGGGTGGCAGTGGGGGGCTGGCGTGGGTGGTCCAGGCAGAGGCTGGAGACCAAGGACAGGGTGGTTGTGGCGCTGGGGTTCTGGAGCGGGGAGGGGCCCAGCATGTGGGGGAGGTGCAGGCTGAACAGGAGCTGAATATCCTGAACCTCTCCCCTCCCCCCAAAGGCCGCCCAGGTTGCCCTTGGCTCACTGTCACCCCTGCTCCGGGAACCTGCCCCACCCCCAGGGCGTCAGCTGCTCCTCCTCCACAGCTCCCGTGCCCAGAGAGGGACTGGCCTTTCCTGACCCTACCCACCTCCCCAGTCTTTGTCTTATGCCCCAGGACCCGTGATCGGGGTGGGGACACCCCCCCACCAGCCCCTGGCCTCTTGCCCTGAGGCCGCCTCTCCCCGGGTTTAGCTGCGCCGGCCCTGCCCCGTGAACTCTGTTCAAGCACAGCCAAGGGACGCCCACAGTGCTGTTAACCCCAACTGCTGCCACTCCTAACACTGAGGGGGTGTTTAGGGTACACTCTCTAAAGTGGGGTCCATCATCCATAAAGACAAAGCGAACTCTTAGTGTGATCCACCTTTAGTTGAGTGCGTGTGTGCAGAGGAGAATGTTCCTAATTAAAAGTTTTCCAATGAAGCCCCAGTTGCCATTTCTTCATCGGCAAATGCCCAGCCAGGCGGGTTGGCCGGAACCGGGCCACCGAGGCCCTAGAGCTTGCCGCAAGTCTAAGGTGCCTCCTGGTGCCTTGCAGGGAACGGCAAGAAGGTGGCCAGGCAATTCTGGGGTGAAAAGCGCGAAATCAAAGTACAAATCAAGATAACGGCCGCCAGCGCCTCTGCCAGGGACAGCCTTCCCGCCGGTGTCTCCCGCGTGTCTCTCCTCTGCGTGTCTCCTGCCGTGTCCCTCAAGTCCCTGGTGCAAGTCACAGCCAGAGAAGCAAGAGCCCCAGAGCGCCCCGCCTTCGCTGTCCCGGAGCCTCCCCTGGCCGCGCGGCTCCACCCCCAGTTCCCAGGGGCTCGTCCTGGTCCTGGGCTGCCTGCAAGTGGAGGCGAGGGCCGCATGAGCCCTGGCCCTCCGAGGGCAGATCCCCAGCTGAGGCTCAGGCAGCCCTGAGGGCCAGGCCCGACCTTGCTTCCCGAGGCCCCACCGCCTGGCCTGCCCTTCTCTAAGCAGGGATTCCCGCCCCCTCAGGAAACGGGCCCAGTCACGCCCTCACAACCCTCTAAAGAGTCCCTGAGCACTGGCGCCACTTCAGCTCCTCCTGACATCGCAGGCTCACGGGCCTCTCCAGGGCAGAGCCTGGCAGGGCTGGGAGTCCTGCCCCTTCCAGCCCCGCCTCCTGCCCTCCCTTCCAGCCCTGGAAACCCAACCCAGGGAGGCAAAGTGGGTGTGGGAAGCTGTGGTTCCTCCTCAGCAACAATTTCCAGAGGATTCTGCGAGGCAGAGTTTCCATGGGAACACGGCTGCTCCCCGCTGGGACTGGGGTGCTCTGGCTGCTGGCGTCTCGGGACCTTGGCCTGGGGCCGGGCCGGGCACAGCTGCGTGTCCCGGCCACCAGCCCCACTAACCTGAAATCAACTTACAGGCAGATCCGCCTTTCCTTTTTTTTTTTACATTCTAATTTAAAGACCTCGCTCCAGTGTAAGGGCGCCTCTGGGAATTCCAGGATGAATTTTTATGTAGTTCAATCGTTTTCTTGGCAGGCTGCTCAGCCAGGAGAGGGAGGCTGGGCCCGGGCCCAGCCCGGCTGAGTGGCATCTCCCAGTCCCTCCCGCATGCCAGGGGATGGCACTGGCCCACCTGAGGGCTTCCCCAGCCCTGGATCCAGACTCCGAGAGCTGGGGACGTCGGCGCGAGGACACACCTTCCTTGTCACGTCTGTGGCCCCTGAATGGCGATGAGCGTCCATCGGCCCCGGCACACGGAGCCAGGTGTTTTCTCCGCCGACGAAACAGGTGGACGCTGCAGTAAAACTCCATCACGGCAAAGCGCAAGTCCCGGCAGCCCGTCGCCCCCATCCCCAGAGGCGGCCGCTGGGTCACTCGATGGTGCCGGGACTCAACGGGGTGTTTCTGGACCGACTTTATGGCGCCTGCGCGCGCACATGTGAACCCAGGAAGTGGGTGGTGCTGGGGCTGCAGTGGCCTCTCCCTGCCGCTGCTGTCCGCGCTGCTTTGTTCGCAGGGCCCCACGTGGAGGGCCTGCCCGTGACCAGGACCCGCTGGTCCGAGCTGCCCGACTACTTACAGAGCAGGATTCCACGCCATCGCCGCGTGGAATCAAACTTTTCAGCTGCACATGAGGTGCTGCAGGAAACATCGTGGACAGAGCAGCAGCCTTCTTCAAGGACAGGGCGGCAAGGGGCTGGCCGGCCAGGGTGTGGACGCCGGCCCATCCGCAGATGCTGCCACATCACCGCGCACAGCGGTCGTGCTGGTTTCCAGCCCTCCGGCTCTCTGCCTGCACCATCTCTAGAGTCCTGCAAGCACCCGGCACAGTGGGAGGTGGGGCTCTTCATTCCCCCAAAGCAGAGAAGGGGACTGGTCACAGGTCACACAGGCCTGAAGGGCTGGCTCCCATGCAGCGTGCTCCCCGGGACCCCAGGGGGCAGAGGGAGGGGCAGGGGGCAGGAAGAGACACAGAGGGACTCGGTGCCCCAGGGAAACCCGGGAGGGTAGCCTCCTTCAGAGATGGCCTGTGGGTCTTACCTTGCTTATGCAGGGCTACTTAGAATGGGGTGGGGGCCACCCCGCCTTCCCACGGTGGTCTATCTCCTAGGGGAAGTAGAGGCAGGTCAGTAGAGGTGGGAGGGGCCCAAGCAGCAGCCCCAGAAACCTGCTGGGGGGCTCAGATTCAGGCAGCCTGGCTGTTTGGATCCCAAGCTTCCTCTGGAAATTTCGGGGCTCAGCATGCCTGGAGGTATGAACTGCCTCTTGGAAGCTGTATAATCCAGGATAATGCTCCTGTAATTGGCCTTGTTTTGCATTGCCAATCCGCTCGTTACCTGAAATCCTTCTTGCAACGGCTGTATCTGGCGAGTGTCTAATTTGGCCATTTTGCAGACCTGAGGGGGCTCAGGAGCGTGGTTATTTTCTCTGTTGCCCCTGTTCTAACTAGGAACAGATCTGGGGTCCCAATTCCCCAGTGCGTGTACCCGGCCTTCCTCATCCCACTCAAGCGTCCTCTGTCTACTGCTGCCTCCTCCCAGCCCTTCCCAGCCTTTGCCACCAAATTGACATTCCGTCTCCACAGATTCGGCCCTGTCACTCTCCCCCTGCTGTACCTTTGGTTACGGTCAATTTGTTTCAACAAAGGGGCCAAGACATTCGGTGCGAGGAGAGCGTCTCTCCAGCAAAGCGTGCTGGGGCGACTGGACAGGCCCACGGGCGGAAGGCCGACGCTGGGCCGCGCCTCACACCCCACACAGACCCTCGCGGCGTCCTCGGTGGGAGGCTCGGCCCCTCGGCCCTGCACGCGGCACTCTGTGACCCCTTTATTCTTTCGAGATTTGTCCGGCTCCCACGATGTGCCAGGCTCCACGCGGGCCTTCTGCCTTGATGGCGTCTGCCAGCCTCAGTTCTGACCAAGCCCCAGGCCACCCACAGTCCACCCGCAGCTGCTGCTGCCAAGTCCCCACCTCAGAAGCTGTTCTCCTCCCGTTCCCTCTGTCTCAAGTGCCCGTGCTCCGTCTCTGTGGCTTTCTCCAGGAAGCCTTGCCGAACACCGCCTCTCCCACCCGGCAATTTATTCACCCCCCCACCTGCACCCCAGGATCTGAGCTTCTGAGCACCCCAGCCTCTCATTGGTCTCTCTTTGTGTCCGACTCATACAGAGGAGCCTTTTGTTTAAAGAACAAATGAGTTTCCCTGTTCTGGAGGCTCCTAGAACCCAGGGTCCTGCTCTTGCTGAAAGAGGGAGGCTGATTCTCCCTGAGAAGTGATCGCTAATTAGCCCGTGACCCATTTCCGCATGTGGAGATTGGGACAGACGCGGCGCTGCTCACGCAGGACCGGGTGGCCCGCGCTGCCTGACGAGAAGGGGCCGGCTCTGGGGCCGGTGGAGGCTGCGGCCTCCCGCTCAATCGATGACGCGTGCCCGCCCAGCGCGCATCGGGGGCCGCGCTCCGTTAGGGCAGTTCTGCTAATTGATCCCAGAAGCCCCTGTCACTGCCAGGGGCTGCCTCCCGCCTCACACTGTCCTGGCCTCTCCCCCACCCCCACCCCCGCCCCTGGTGGCTTCCCTCCCTCCTCGCGCCTCTAGGCTGGCCAGACCGTTCTGACCATGTGGGGCGCCGCCAGCAGGGCTGAGCCCAGGGCGGGCAGGGGGAGGGACACTGGAGAAGCCCCTGTGTGTCCCTCATGCCGCCCTTTCAGTGGCGGGGTCAGCGGGGGGCGGGACTTAAAAAGGCCCCCCGGGAACCATTCGGGACCCAGCCTCAAATGCCCCTCACCTTCCCTCAGTAGCCCCAGGACTGGAGGAGCCAGGGAGCCCTGGGAGCCAGGCGTGTGGAGTGGGGCCAGGAGGGCTGCTGGCCCCTGGCACGTTAGGGCAAGTCCACGCGGTGCTGATGGGCTGATGTGCAGGGGTCCTGAGCAGCCCCCCACACAGACCCTTCCCTGGGCAGTGCCGTGGGTCACCCCTGTCTCCCTGGGCAGTGAGGGCATAGGGGCGCTGAGCAGGGAGCCCCAGGACGCCGCCGCCTTCCTCCTGGCTTCCGGCTCGGAGGTGGGCGTCGTACGTGTCCAGACGCTGCGCCCTAACGCCGGGCTGGTGGCTGCTGACGGCACTGGGCGTGTTTATAGGGTAATGAAATGCTCTGGAATGGGTGATAGTGGCACAACCTTGTGAATATGCTAAAAACCACTGGACTGTACTCCCTGAAAGGGTGACTCTTATGGTATGTAAATTGGAAATAAAGAGGAAATAAAAACTGCCCTGTTGAAACACCCTCCACGCCCTGTCCGTCAGCTCCAGGCAGCAGCGGAGCAGGCCTGCGCGCCACTTCCCTGGGCCACCCAGCCCCACCCTCCACACCTTCCCTGCCTTGGCCGCCCGGCCCACCTGTGCTCCCTCCTGAAGGAAGGCCCGTCAGGGTTTCTCTGCCTCTGGGCTGCAGCCCATGCGGCGCCTCTGCCTTCGAGATAGTTTAATGCCCGAGTTCTTGCCTGAAGCGCGGCTTCATTCCCATTTTACAGATGAGGAAACCGCAGATCCGAGAGGGGTAGCAACTTGTCCAAGGCCACACAGCTGGCAAACGGGGCAGCTGAGATTCAAATCCCAGAAGTGGCTGCAGAGCCCGTGAGGTGACCCTCTTCCTGGCCTCTCAGGATGTCCACCTCTGGATCTCTGACCCTAGAATGTTTCCTCACACGATAAACACTTTACAGTCTTGTTATCAAGGATCTTGAGACCGGGAGATCACCTGGGTGAGGGCAACTACAAACGTCCTTGTAAGAGGGAGGGAGAGGGAGACCACAGGCAGGAAGGGGTCGGAGCACCGCCTGCAGACGGAGGAAGGGGTCTCTGGCTTCTGAGGACAACTGTGTGAGGTTGTAAGCCACCAACTTTGTGGTGACTGGTTACAGCAGCCCTGGAAAATGAAAGAACGTCTCCTACTGGAAGAGAC